CACATGGACATACATACTCATGAATCCAATTCAGAGCCATTCGAAACAATTCTTCGCAGTGTCGCAGGGACGACATGTTGGCCGTCTGCCGCGTTTTGACACAATAGTGCTGCCCCCCTACATTGCAGGATCGTAACTCGATAGAAGAAGACTTGATAGCAGCCTGCAAGAGGGCTGCAGAACCCATTTGCTGCCGAGCGGCGGCACTGTTCGGGCAATCCTGCCCATCTTTTCGTTCAAACACCGGCTCGCGAGCCGAAAATGCAACGGGTCCATGCCTCGTCCCCGAACGTGTACAGGCTTCCGATGTGATGAAGGGGCTGAAGGTCATAGCTGACCCACAGGGCTCAAGGAGCATTCACGAGTTCTTCTCAGACTCCCGGCCTAAACCCTAAAACCCTACGCCCTGAACCTCCGGATATGACCCCAACCTCCGGCCCCCGGCCCCAAGGGCATCCGAATCTGGCCTCGTTGGGCAACACCTGCACGGATTGGGGATCTCATGCAATTGGGGGGATAGTACGGTAAACTATGTGACTATGATGTAGTGTTCCGAGTTCCTGGTCTCCTCAGAATAAACCCCAAGATCCACTCATCGATCTTCGAACTTAGGAGAACTTCACACTGATCTTCACGACATAACTTTGTGCACAGGCGCCTTACGCAAATCTCATGTATTGACTTTAAGCCCATTAGAACGTTTTGCCGGCCTTGTCCGCGCTTGGACGCTGCGAAAATAGCTTCCGCAGCCCTGCTGCACGGCAGCGCAGACAAGATCGGCCCTTGGAGTGTGCAGCTCCAGGAATCTTGCAGCACATGCCTTCCTGGCTTCCTTTGGCAGCTACCATTCGGGCAAGCATCCAGTCTGCAAAGCGATGAGAAAGCGCTTTCAACTCCATCATCTGGGTAATTCTCTAAATTAGGGTCCCTTTTAGGGTCCTTGCTAAAAGGGTGCCGTACTATATTGGGGACCCAAAAAGGGGACTCTATAATTTAGCGAACTACTCATCTGGGGGCCGGGCCGGCAGGCCCAAAGAGGGAGCGACGAGCTCGGCGGACTTACCCCTCACGACCACTGACCGAAGGAGGTCCTGGCCATGGGGCGCTTTTATTTCGAGGTTTCCGGGGTTTTTAGGCTCTGGAAAACGGGTATTTCCGGGCTTCGCTGATGTCGGCATATCGCGCTTTGCAGGTCTGAAGCTTGGGTGTGACTGGGATGTTGCTGTTGTCGTTGGTTAGGGTCTCGTACCTCCGGCTACGGGTTAGCTGTTTGTGTACTCAGGGTAGAACAAGCTTTGTGGTTGCTGTGGGCATTTACAGGTTAGCCAGGTGATTTCGGGTTTCATGGGGTTTAATCTTGGGAAGAGTGGGTTAGCGGGCTGGGGCCTTGGGAATTGAAAGGCTTGGGATTCGACGTGATCTCCTCTGGCCTGAACCCTAACCTCATTTGCGGTTCTGGGATCAAGGCACAGGCTGGAAGTTGGATCTGCCCGTGCAGGCACTAACTGTAACAATCCCCGGATGCAGGCCAGAGCTGTGATAGCTGCAGTGCAAGGTTCTTCAAGAAACCGTGGGCGAAGATGGCAAAGACAGACCTAAGGAGGAGGCCTAAGACTCTTGGACACCAGATTCAAGCCCGCAAGCAGAGGCCAGTGATCAGAATCGTGGGGCCTGCATTTCGCTGCGGCTTGTCACCTGGACCTTGTGTCGGCGACATGGACAACGAAATGTCAGGGAGTTTGAATTGCAATTTTGGTAAGTTCTCAGGTAAGCCCCCCAAAACCCTAAACCTTTAAGCTCCTGGAGGTTTCCCGTGCAAGCCACGAGCTGTTGGGTCGGCGGTGTGCTGTATATGGCGCGGACACATTGGCACATCATCCAACCATGCTAAGCGCGAATGCTGATGAAGAGAGCTTCATTCTACATTCTACACGGTTGTTGCATGAGATGTCGAATGCCATATTCTGGGAACCCCTGACACCTAACTACTCGAGGGTGTTACTACCGCCAGGACCACGAACGCAAAAGTAAAGACACTGTTTTCCATTCAGCATGCTTCTCGAGCAACGGAAGCATAGCACCACGGGCGAAGGGAGAGGTTGAGGCAGCAGATTAGTGAATTAACTGATCACAACACCCGCCTAGATGATGGCTGCGCCTACGCCTAGGGGTCGGAGCGGCTTTGGAAGCGGCTATAAGCATAAGATGTATAAGTCAAGCCTTGTATACAATACATGGCCATGCAACAGATCCGGTTGCTGCCTCTCAGGAGCGCCGATCGAAGGGCTCTCCAAACCCTGAAAGAAATCGCACGGCGCTCCAGTCCAGGCTTTAAAAAGGGCCTGCCCGGCACCGGACTTCGTCTCGGGGGACTTTCCCAAAATTCGGGGCTACCTTATTTTGGGGTCCTTGTAATAAGGATCCTACTATTTAGGGTACTATATTAGGGTCCCCTATTTTCGGAAACCCCCATCTGGGATTTAAGGAAACTGCAGGCTCTCTGCAGAAAACTGCCAAGACTGGCATGGTGACGCCATGTCGCACTGCCCGAACTCGGTGGTTGGGAGAACCGTTGTTGTTTTGTAGACTCCGCATGTAGCCTAGTAGCATCTAGAGCTCCACCTCGCGACACCCTAGTCACGCTCCCAAGCTGCAGCCGGCTTTCGAGCACCTGCACGAATTCCGTCTGAAAGGAATGAGCCTCAACTCCGTCCCCACAGACAGACTGCATCGTCATCGATCCTTTTAAAACTTCTAACAGTGTTGCGTTCGCCTTCTGCTCCGGACTTGCTCCACAGATCCACGGCCTTCGGCCGTTCAAGCGGGTCAACTCGTTAGGTGGCACAACCGTGCGCCAACCGACAAGAAGATGAAGGCAGCATGCATGCATGAGACGCAGAAACACTCTTGGTATAGAACCTTACGTGGTCCATGTACATATACAGTAATGACGTACTGATAAGCCTAAACTATCCGAAACATGTCGACGAATATGCGCTCGTGAGCCCAGCACGCAGGTGTCGACGACAGGGGTGAAGACAAAGAGCTACGACATCAGATGAAGGGCTTAGGACGGCTAAGCCCCTGCAAAGGTGCTTGATGGTTCACGGGTGCTTCAGAAGTCATGCCGCATAGTACCGGTATGTTAGACCCCATAAAAGTTAAGTTGCATACAACTCTACGGCTCTTTCTACCATTTTCTACCCATTGATCCTGCAAGCATGTTAAAACTTCCAGCATGTTGAAGGTTTGGCTCGTTCGAGGCCGAATCAGACCGTCAATGGCGCTGTCAGGCTCCGCTTTCGAGGCGCCTGACAGCGCCTCGCATGTGCGTGCCAGACATTGGGTTTAGGGTTTAGGGTTTATAGGGTTTAGGATGATAACTGATGACTTGAACGGAGGGTTGGTGACTTAGTCGGCTTGATAGGGATTTGATTCCAAGGGCTGTAGAAACATGTACGGCGTGTTGACATGGAGTAGCAACTGGCAGGCACACAAAACTTAAATAACAACATCGTTGCAAGACGATGATTATCAGATTATCAAGGATGGCTTTGCCACCTCCCGCTCGGCTAGGCACAGGCGCACAGCTACCTGAGTGCAAGCAAGCTCGGATCATGTACCGAGTCGGTGAAATCGCTGGGCGCAGGAACTGATAAAAAGTTCCTGCTTCGGCTAATACCAATAATGAAATATGATGAACCGTGGTAATAACTGGAATATAACAATAGCCTCCACACGGGTGCTGCTCAGTGACCGCAAGCGCAAACACAATGCACGGACTAACGATCTACACGCAAATCAGGGACATTCGGTCGGATAGCGCAGATTACGGTTTTGCGTTTCGTGGTGCCCAAATAGTCCGACGGACAGGCGCTAGATCACCCGCTACCTTTCGAAACACACCAGCAACCCTCGGGCTTTCATCTTCGAATCCTGAGCCACTAAGCAAAAGAAGCATCATGATGGTACCATTCCAAACCTGCGTAATTAATTCCTATAGCTCCTTGCACCCTAGACAAAACCCTATGTACCTCCAGTGTTCCGAGAGGCTTGGAGCAAGACCGGTGCGATTCGGGTGCCCGTGCTGGCACCTTGTCAGAAGCAGGTCAACGCAAGGTTTCGGTTATTTGCAGTTTAGGGCTGGTTAGGGTTTAGGGCTGGTTCTGGGATGTGCAAGCTTCGCAAAGTGTAGTCAGCGCATAGGCTTCAAGGCGGATCTTTCATCGGCAAAGCCTTGACCCTTGACTTGCAACTTTACTACTACGAACCGAAATTGGCACATGTCATGAACGTGATGGATGTCGTCGGTAGCTTTGGTAATAACTCTGCGGCTGTGATCAATGTGACTGATCAACAGGGGTCATTTACGAGCATTGCGACCATTACCAAAGAGGTGAAGGTGCGGAATGCTGTTGACATCATTGTTGAAAGATGTTTTTTCATATTTCATGAACGGCGGCAATACGAAGAGTATGCCCAGTACTGCAAAGATTATACGTTACATCTCCGAATATCACACAAGGTACTAATAAATACAGTACTATTCGTGATCCGGATTGGTCTGACGGTTACTGAGACTGATAGCATCAACAGTTCATGTTGCCCATAGTACGTTACATGTTACTAATGCTGCCAGCATTACATTTGGCTGGCAGTACGAATAACATCGAGATTATGGAGATTGCCAAACACCAGCGGAAAAATTGACGGGTACTGGCTACACCTACTCTATTGCTTGCTAGGCTTACCAATGCTGCTAATCTTCTTATCACCAGCACGGTTAGGCTCATGCTTTATATATTAACCCAAGAGAGCTTTGTAACTCGTGAGTAGGTGGTGGTGGCTGCTGCTCCGGCTTGCAGGCCGTCGGGGTCAAGGGGGTTTAGATACTTCGGGCCCGAGACGTCTGGCCGATTGACAAGGAGGGCAGCGGGAAGATGGGTCGGACCTGGCTTACTAAGTTCCTCGCCGAGTTTGGGCATCTGCGATCCCGAGCCTCACTCAAGGATCTGATCTGGCACCACCTGAACATGCAGGCGGTAGTTTCAGAAACACAGGGATCGCTATGTAGAGGTCTCCAAAAAGGGATCTTACTATTGATGGTCTGCTTGGATCCAGTATCCCCTGTTCCTGCACGTCGTTGGCTCTAATACTAGGCTACTGCGGTAAGGGAACTTAAACGCAAAAACCTGTAGCAAGACCTGCTCACTCACACTCAACCTTGAACCAAAGTTACGATCCAAGCCACAGTTTTCATGCGATGAGCCGTAACCCCTCAAGCCAACAAGCGGACATAACCCCAGACGTACAACCACAATCGAATGCCAAGCCTTCTTCCACATCGACACCGGGAAGAGAGTGAATACCCTGGCCGCCCCTGTACAAGCAGATGTTAAATCTTCCTGTGGAAATATGAACACTTACACAAACAAAAAACACAAAGAACCCCCCCCCCCCCCACCTGCATCCTCCCCATACCGCCCGTACCGTTTTGCGAGCCCTGTCTTCCTGCAACAGGGGCTCAGGGGCAGTCGAGGGCTTGGGGTGTAGGGTTCAGTTTTGGGGGGGTTTGGGGTTTATAGGGTTTAGGGTTTAGGGGGTTAGGGGGTTTCCGGTTTGGGGTTTGGGAATATGTGGTTCTTGAGCCGGGGTTTCACACCTACTTCGCTGCCTCGTGGGTGCGAACCACTTCCTCTGCTGGCGACTTGCTACGGATGTCATAAAGATACCAACAGCAACAGATGCAGTTCAGGGCTTTCGCGCCGAGCTTAGCGAGCACAGCACCTAGCTAGCCCTCCGCTAAACATCAGGAACAGTAAGCTCTGGACTGCAGAATTGGGAACTTCACGGCCAGGCAGAAAGACCCCAAACCAGCAACCTACAAGGTTAGGGTTTAGGGTTTAGGGATGTCATCCCAACTAACCAACCAAGCCACATGCCATCCCCATCCCTGGCCTTTCACACGCTGTCTGCCGAAGGTGTTGAAAGCCAGTTCAGGCCTGCAAGCCCGAAGCCAGGGCTTTGGTACGGCTTCCACTAAATAATCAAGGACTGTAATTTTACACATTCAAGATCTTCTAAGGTTTTGATTTCGCAGATAGAAAAGTGCCAAATTCATCCAGAAATGAGGGGTCGACCTGCTGTTGTCAAGCACGCCACAAGTCTTTGGACTGCAAAATCATTCATTCTCTTCTCGTGGGCACAGGTTGGAGTTTCGGAGAGCATGCGCCTGTAGATACGAGCAATCCGGTCAGTCACCACTAGAACTAGTGGTTTGCCATAAGTTGATCACAAGCAAGTTCGAACAGGGGGTGTATCGTTCGATCATCCCTATAAACCCTAAACCCTAAGCCCATCTCGTCCCTGTCATCTACCTTAACTCCTCCAACATGTAACCTTAATTTACTGTGGGTTCTTGGTTATTAAATGGTGGGTGGTCCATTTTGTGCTTATTTTCTTTGCCACCGTTCATTCACGCACTTCGCCTTTACTTAATGAGCGGAAGCAAGAAAAGATCACAACAACCGACGCCCAAACTATAATCCATCATTCCGTCCCGTGGCGGCACCGCTTGCGAACACCTGTCCTCATGGCCTGGGCTCTGGAACCCAAACCCACAAAAGCCAGGGTTCGGATGCCCCGATCTGAACCTGCGACACCCCGTCCTGAAACCAGAGTTCTACTAGGACCCGAAACGGACGCTTCAGATCACTTAATGAAGAGGCGTCTGTGGGCCCCCCCAGAAATAGTGGACACGAGTGATGACTTGGGATGCAGAGGTAAAGAACCTCTCTCAACCCAACGTCCCACACCCTACCCTCCTCAACCACACACCGGCTCTAAAACATCCTGCTGCGCTTCGCCATCCACCCTGCAAGCTGGATCCTAAATCTGCTCCTTTAGCTGCCAAGCTCTCTAAAGCCTCAAACCTCGCTCAAGACGACGGGTAGAGCACCCATGCAGACCCTAAGCCGAATTATAGGGGCCTCAGTAGTCAGAATAGGGTCTTGGGGTACATTCTACTGTCACGATAATAAGGAGCCCCCGAAGCAGTATAGGTAATTCTTATAAGGCCCCTCTCTTCGATCCCCCAAAAAAAGCCCTCAAAAAACTCCGAGACAAAGGTGCGCGAAGCCCCTGCCGAACATGAGGTCGTGAACTTCGACCTCGGCCTCAAACTGCCTCGGTCCGCTGCATGGTCATTACAGGAGAGTTTAGGGTTTAGGGTTTAGGGGTTTAGGGTTTAGGGGTTTAGGGTTTTGGTTTAGGGGTCTTGGGCATGGGAGATTTTGAGGGCGGCCTATACAGGGGTTTAGAGGGGGTCAGGGAACTGGTGCCCCCCCCAAGCCCCAAACTCGAAATCCCCCCCCAAAAAACCCCTGAATCCGAAGATGGAACTCCTAGAATCATAGAATCGGCGTCCCAGTGAATCCAGCTGCCAGGTGTCCGAGATGTCCGTGCCATCTGCCTGCGCTGGAAAGCAACCCATGGGCCCCTAAGTAGTTCCTTTTTGTGGTTCATATTTAGAATCCCATAAGGTAATCCCAAAAAGGAACTACTACTTAGGGGTCTATGGGAAGAGCGAGAAATTCCCAGTCAGCGCTTTGAAGACGGCGTGGAGCCACTAGGGAGGGCTTCCGGCCGCGGGGCACACAACAACACGACGCAAGGAACGATAGGCGACTACTACAACTGAATATTCCGAATCGAAGGTTGCGACCATTCATCTAGACCCGAGACCAGAGACCCCAAGAGGGGAACCTCCAACTCCCAAAATGCTGAACACGAAGAAAGCTGTCGCGAACCAGCTGAAAAATGGTAGAAGATGTGTCTTGCTTTGGCAGCCTCACGTCGCAGATTGTGGGTGTACTCCTTCGCATATTGCACCTCAGGATCTCGGACTTGGAATCTAAGCCTTCCTACCTCGCAGCAAGTGAAACTGGGCGAAGGTCAACTATGCCTATGAAAGCAAAGCTAAACCGCCCCTGAACGCTCCGGCTGCATGGCATGGTGCCGCCAGGGCGTGCATCAGCGGGTTGGAGGCGATGGTTCGGCAGAAGCTCTCCATGTCCAGCATCAAAATCCGCGACACATCCGTGGCGATGAGGTCGCCCAGGAAATACCACTCCGTCCAAAGGCACATCCTCATCATTAGCAAGCATCCGGAGAAGTGGGATCTCGCAGCTTTATGCAACCAAAAAGTCCCGCAAATCCCCGGAATCCCGGATCCTCAAACCGCCCATCGTCCCATTGTCTGCGAACGCCCCTGCGCATGTTCCAATAATGCACATCCTACGAAGGCTTAAGTATTTGTAGTGATGTAAAAGCGAATGGCACTTGTAGGCTCGGCGGCAGCAGTACTTATTGTAGTGTCATAGCAGCAAACAAAACAAAAAGCGTGAACAAGAGTAAGAAGAGTACGCTAGCCTTGGTAGTCCTGAGGCTTGTATTTCCAACATCAATCACAATACAAGCCTAAACCCTAAACCCTAAACCCATGCACCAAAACCGCAAGCTGCTCCCAGCTCCAAGGGCTGCAGGGTTCAGGGCGGATGTCGGGATTTGATGTCGATGTTCATGAGCAGCTTTCCAAATGAGGGTCCCCTTTTAGGTCCCCGATATAGTACGGCACATCATAAAACCTAATTTAGAGAACTACCCTCATGGCTGTTGAGGCCTACACCCGGTAGATGTCCAAAGCTTTGTCGACCCAGCATGCGATTTGGATACAAAACCAAACCGGTGATAGATAACTCCATTTCTCAAAGGGTATACCGGACGGTTTGTATGGATCAGGGGTCTGCATGAACCGTATCCCCAAACCAGAATCGGCTTGTCCCGATACAAATACTTTCACACGCACTGTTCAAAGCCAGCCGGGGCTTATGCAGTCGATGCGCCAGGCATGAAAGGCAAAGAACGGTAGAATCTTTTACGCACAAGAGCAAATGTCCTTGAGGCTTCTGCGAGTCTGAGTTGGTTGTTTTCAAGCTTCTGTTCTACAGCCAGAGTTGGCCTTTACATGTTGCTTCAACTCTAAGTTCGCCTTGGGCTTGTTGCTCTGTAAGCCAGTCCGCTATACATAAAACAAGGCTGTTCACATTGCACTGGCGGTCATGGAAATCTGCACTCCTCCTTGGTGCGACCGTCAGGTATGCATCACTAATAAATTCTGTGACCGCCATTCTCGAGGCAGCACCGACAAAGTGTCACAGTGCTGACTCTCCCAGCATTCCTCAAGCCCCAGCATTCTCGAAAAACATGTAGGTGATCTCGACCGGGGACTTGGTAGAAGGGTCCGGCCACCACATTGGTCGCCGCTGGTGGAGTAGGGGTCACTTTTCTAAAGGCCGGCTCGGGCTCGGTCTGGGTCTCCTGATCCTTGTACATTCTTGGCTTGGGTTGCTTGTTTCTTCCCGCCAAGTGGACCGATGAGGTTGAAGAGGAAGCTTCTTCAGGTAGAGGACGTGGTGTATCCACTTGATCCATAACTTCTCTCGGTAGAGGAGAGGAATCGGGCATCGTAGCATTGAGCTTTTCCCGTAGGTCGCAGAGCCGCTCCTTCTGTTCCCCGGTCAACTCTTTTGGGTCGACCTGTGGGAGTAGTTGAAGTTCCTTCAGCTCAATCCTCGTCAATCTTCCCGAGGTAGATCTTGTTGCACTCGCCCTCAAAGCCTTGACTTTCACCTCGCGATTGCAACAGCAGGCTTTAAGTCCTTCCCAGAGACCAATCACCGCAATGCCCAAGACAATCACCGCCAAGTAGAGGTCCCAGGGTATCTCTGCCCTTATACCTTCTTTTTGTGCCGCGGATCCGCAAACTTGACAAAGGAGGAGTAGGCGACGTAGCCATGATGCCTCTGTCCTTTTTATTTGACGAACTTCCGCTGTAGGTCGATGGTCTCTCATTCCCCACATAGCAACAAGTTGACGTAGTCGTTCCCGAGTAAAAGGCTTTGTGCCAAGATCTGCCCGTTGCTTTTCGCCCGGCACATACTTGATGGACAGCTGCTTATTCGCAACCATTTCACGAACCCAGTTGCTTCGTAGTCGAAGGTGACGCGTCCTCCAAGACCCCGAGGATGTAGTAAGTAAGGATATTGCTGCACTGTTGTCCACCCAAACAGTAAGTGGCAGCTCCCGGCCCAACAGCTCTGTGAGAAGCCCTCTTGTGGACAGGCCCAGTGTAGCCCCTTCCACAGCCTCCAACAGCTCTGATTCCGCCGTTGACAAAGTCACTAACTGCTGTCGTCCTGAGCGCCACACCAGGGGGCTCTGTCCATAAAACACAGCTGCTGCCCCTTGTGATCGTCCTCCGCTTGGGGCGAAGGACGAGTCAGTGAACACACTGAGCTCCCCAATCTGCTCCTCCTCCTCCTGGCCCAATGCCAGACGGAATGTTTCGTCTCGTTGAGGTAGTCCAGGAGTCGTTCTCCCAAACGGTTGACCATTGCAGGGCATCGAGTAATCCGTGCTGCCATAATCGAGACAGTGTGTTGAAGGTCTGGTCGAGTACGTCCCACCAACCATAACAACTCCCCGACGCGTCTTTGTGCTTCTTTCACTTCGGGGCACTTGGGGTCAAGCACCACTGGCTCTGCATCGATAATGGCTCGCTCCTCCTCATCGCTCAGTAAGAGCGTTTCCTTTGGTCCCTGGGACTGAGACCTTCCCCCTTTATGGTTGTGTGCTCTGAGGATCTCGTTGACGAAGCCCTCTTGAGACAACTCAACCCCCTTTGAGGTTCGGTGCATTTCCATTCCCAGAAATCGAATAGAATGGTCGTAGTCAAGAACGTCTAGCGCATCAACCTCCCACTTAGCTGCCACCCAGTTGAAAAAACCATGCATTGCCTCCTCCTGGGAATGGATGAGGAGGTCGTCGATATACACCACGACGTAGCCATAGAGCATCTTCTCAGCATTGTCGGAAACAATTCTCCACACTTGGTTGTCTGACACCAGCTGCTCCAGCTTCATAGGTACATCAACACCATTGATCGCCACCGTCCATCTTGCCATTGCCAACTGCTGGTCACGAAAGTTTGACCAAAGAGCCGGTGACTCACGCAATCCATAGATGGCTTGTTCAACAAACCAGACTTCTCCTGGAGAGGCCAGGCCTAACTGGTAGGCAATAGTCGGTGGCTCCAAAGCCACTGGAAGTCCCAACCACTTCGCGAGGACGAATGCCTGACGAACATCCGTGGTGCCGATCCGCCACGGCTTGTGGCCATGCACAGAAAGAAGAGTTCGAAGGGATGTTGCGTCCACGCCTGCCGCGAAGAGGTCGCATGAGTTCTCGTTTTCTGGCACATGGTTGCCGCAAGCGACGAACCGAGTCTTCCGTCGATAGCCCTCCTCATTCTTATCAGGCTTCACGGTGTGGACGCCTTTACATGGCACCAATCTGCACCCGGGAGGAAGCTCACCCCGCTTTTTCACAGTGAAGGCCTTCTTCACATCTCTCAAATTGGTGAATTCCTTGAGGGCAGATGCTTTCCACAGATCAATATTCTTCTTCACCTCATTCAGGCTGACATTGTGCGTTACCTCCAAGGGCTTTTTCGTCTTCTTCAGCTCAGACAGTAAATGTTCTATATTGTCCGTGTACTGCACCTCAGCTTTCTTAATAGCCGCCTTGACATCGAGGCCTGTAGGAACATGGTCTCCCAAGTTATCTCCCGGGAAGATGTCAGAGTCCTCGATCTCCTCAAACGCCCGAACACACCTGGCACCCACGTTGCCCTCAAGCTTGAGAGTCTTCGCCTGCAGCGCCGGCGCGGATTCTTCAAGATCCACATTTCCAACATCGATCTCCTCCTCAACTGCTGAGAGGGCCTCAGGATCCACATTGAAACCCGCCTCATTGAGAGCCTCAACATCACCAGAAGTAAGCTTGGTGGCACGAGGAGTATACAGGAGAAGAACCAACCTTTCACCCTTCCAGGGTTGAACTTCATGCCAACGACGAGGTGAAAACTCAATAACTCGTCCCTTCACCATTTCATAGCTCACACCTCGTAGGGTCTTTCCATTGGCCAACGTCTTCTCAACGCATTCCTCGTCCTCAACTTGATCTTGTTGTATCCATAAAGAGCCACCGGTGAAGTCCTTCAACGGGAGAACATAGTTCTTGGAGAGGTGGTAGTTGTGCGAGTCCCGATGCAAACCCAGTTGAGCATTCTGGGCCAGTCCCAAGGCAGAGAACTTCACATCCCCGCAGTGGTGTTTCGCGAAGCTGGTCAGGTACTTGGTGGTTTGTGGGAACTCCTTCAAGTTCGCTCGCGTACCCGCCACTCCTCCGTGAACAAAGGCCCCAGTGTACCATGACGTTGCCCGGCCCTTTTTTCCAATCCTGGTATCTGTATTCCCCAAGAGCTCCATCAACTGATAGATTTGAACCACAGCCTCCATGCTATAGTCCTTTCCCTCCAGCAGTTTACGGGAGCGAAACTCGATTTCCGCCTTCACATCTGCAACCTTGGGAGAATCTTCAGACACGAGAACTTCCTCAGGTAGACCGCTTGCAACGGCAGGGGAAAGGATGCCAGGGAATTCCTCCTCGGGGTTAACCACGTCAAACTTCACGCTCTTGGCAATCGTAAGACCACCATCATCACGGACCAACACATGTCCACGAGCAACGTCTTGAGCTGGGCCTCGATACCATCCCCGCTTCCACCGTGAACCCGCAGCTTCGTGCTTCTTCTCCTGCTTCCCCTTGTAGTGCTTTGAACGGAACCATACCTCATTCCCAAAGGAAGTTGCCGGAGGGGTGCACAATGGACTATCAGGGAAAGCCTTCGCCCATAAATCCGCGGAGGCATGTTGAATTGCCATAGGCCAATCCTTGGGCGGAGCCTTGGCAGCAGCCAGGAGAGCACGTACCCTCCCTTTGGCCCACTTGATGCCGAGCTCGGCTCAGCTATTTCCAGCCGGGTCTCCACCCGCCGTCTTTGTGTGCCTCAACTGAGCCTCCGTGGTCCAATCCTTGAACGCCTTTGCCTTGAACTCCCGGGCCCGGTCTGTATGCACCATGTCAACGTGCAACCCGGTCTGCTTCAACTGCAAATGGATTTCCTTCGCAGCCTGGACGACGTAGTGATTTGTTCGTCCACGGAGAGGCCTTGTAACATAGATTG